AAAGCTACTAAAATACCAAATTTTAAGGTAGGTTATCATGTTTTACTTAAACAAGAAAGAGTACAAATAGGAAAGAAAAAGAAATTAGAACCTAAGTGGACTGGACCATTTTCTATACTAGAAAATCGACATGATTTAATTTACAAGCTACTTAATTTAAAAACCCTTAGGCCAGTTAAATCATTCATTCATGCAAACAGACTTAAAGCTTATAAAGATCCAAATGATTTCAGGCCACCTCCAAATCATTTAAAAGATAACAAAGCTTTAAATAATGAGCCTGGTAATATAAATCAACCAAATATTGATAATTTAAATGGAGATTTAAATCAAACAGAAAATCAAGAAAACAACTCTCAAAGTGATGTTGACGAATCAACATCAAATCAAAGTCAAAACAAAAATAACGAATGGTATGAGGCTATTAAATTATTAAAATTAAAATGGATATCAGGAAAGAAATATTATTTAGTTCAATGGAAAGATAATTCAAACCCAACATGGGAACCGCAAGAAAATGTTAGTGAACCTTTAAAGATAGCATTTCATTCAGATAAAGCTCGCAAAAGATTAAAAAGAAGACGTTAATAAATATTTAACTATTTCACAAAAGTGGCATGCAATTGACAATCACATTAATCCACTTGACTACCTATATCTAAATTGTCCTTTATTTAGACCACTGGAAAAATTTATCCCCAATCTTTTGATCACCAGAAATCAAATTAATTCCTTTTTTTTTATATTGTAGGCATGTCAAGATTTGGATTGGTGACTTTGCCATTTTTGCTTTTTGCCTTACTTTTGTCAACGTCAAACGCAGATGAACAGAGAATTAATTATGGAATTATATTTCAAAGTCAACCTAATATTGATTTCGCTACAGGTTATTGGACACATATTTATGAAATCCCAATGTATTTGAACATACAGCATAAATTGGTCACTAAATGCCCAAAACAAGCAGGTCGTCAATGTCAATCGTATAACAAAATTGTTTCACAAGTAAATTATATGAAAGAATATATGAATGCACAAATTCAAGACACAAAGTTATTAATAGACAAATTGGTACCGAGACTAAATATCACTTATCTTGGCAAATCAAAGAGAGCAATAATTCCATTCGTAGGAAGCATTGTGGGGGAATTGTCCGGTTTAGTAACAGAAAAATCCAGGAAAAAGATAGTTACCCATATAAACACCTTAACATCTGAAAACAATAAAATTTCAAATGCTTTAAAACAATATGGAGGTAGTTTAGCGTCTTTTTCACAAACAGAGAAAAGACTTGACAATTCAATGCAAAGTATTGAAAAAAATTATCAGGCTTTATTCTTTTTAAATACCCTTATTCAGAGAGATTATAAAAACCTAGAAGACCATTATACAGACTATTTTCAAATTCTAACAGATCAAACTCAAGATGCTAATACTCTTCAGAATTATATAATAGATTTGAAAGCAGCCATTATTAATTTAATAGAAGGAAAATTGTTTCCTCTTTTAAAACCAAAAGTCATTCAACAAACTGTATTGGATATTCAAAACATTATAAATGCTAACTACACTGGATACAAAATTTTAACTACAAATCCACATTATTATTATAATTACGCTAAATATATTGTTCTACAAAACAATACAAAATTGTATTTAGCTGTTCAATTTCCTTTAACAATTCAAGGCAAACTATTTGAAGTATATAAAATAAAATTTTTTTCTGTTCAAATTACTACTAGTACTTCCCATGCACTCAACTTTTTGATGTACCTAAATATATGCTGATCACGCATTCACAATATCGTAAATTTTTCACAACTCTTACCTTGAACAAATGAATATGTGCCAAGGTATAACCCAAAGCATTGTAATTTTAATTCTTTATTTCAATCATCGAATACTATAGAATGTGCTTTTCATATTTTCAATAATGACAAACAGAAAATTAAAAACTTTTGTGATTTTAAATTTTTGCCTAATTCCATTTCACCACATATTCAACAAATATCAGACAATTCAGTTCTAATTTATCAATATAACAATTTACATTTAATGTGTAATGATAAAAATATAACTGTATCTGGTTTCTTTTTGTATTTTCAAGATCCCTTGTCACTGTATTTTACTTTCTAAAATTTCACACTTTGCAGCAAAATTATCACTTTGCGAAAATGGAACACATGATTTTACGAAACTCCATCCAGCCAATTTAGCAATTTTACAACACTTCTTTGATGATACAAAAATTGAAAACATCCTTGCTACCACGACTTTCACTGATCCAGTTCCTATTTCCTTACCAAATTTCACGATATACAAAATAAAAATGAATCATATTTTTGCTAAAGAAGAAAAATATCACCTCAATTTAAAAAAATTGGTCACAAGAGTCAAGACACAAAATATTATATATTCCACTTTAGCTGATTCTATGGTAGATGGACAAATTGATCTAAACCTCGAAAAATGGCCTACGCCAAATGATATATTATCATTGGTTACAATTATTATTACTTCACTAAACACAATTGTTCTTATCTGGTTATTTTATAAATTCAAAATTATCGCTGCTGCAATAGCTATATATCAACCTGTCCAAATATCTGCTACTTCACTACCAAATTTTAAATTTGAATCTTTCACAACTCAAGCACCTACTACATGTACATGGATCAGTATATTAAATTCAAATATAACTTGGGATCATGCTGTTTTTACATTAGCTTTTATTTCCTTTTTAATGACCATTATTTTGGTAGTTAAATCCTTCAAAAGGACAAATATGAATACTAAATTATGCTTAGAAATAACAACAGGTTTCGATTGTGTTTGTATTCCAATGTTTTCAATGCCTTTATGTCCAACGTACTGGAATGTTCAATATCAAAACATTATTGATAATTCAACTGTTGTAAATTACTTCAGGCCTAAATTACACATTTCGTATCCAAATTTTACAATTCGAAATAAAAATACTTCCCAATCCATTTACGTACCTGAAATTATCGATCTGAACATTTTTCAAGCATGCACACTAAGGTCAATACTTAAACACCCTTTCTCTGTTTATGTCATATTACTTCATCATAACATTAAATGTCCAATTGATAATGTCAATATGTTAGCGACAAATATTGATACCCCAGGTCAAACAAACAACCGCAAGACTAATGCATACCCTTCTACCTTATACTAATATTTTTCTTTTCTATTTCCTCAGATTTTCCAGAACTAAAGGACATAAACAACTTTCCGCCGTCCCAAATCTGGTATTAATTACATAACAACCATGACGACCTTGATTATTTAGAAGCCACTGATTCTTTAATATCTTACGGTTTTGATCCATTTAACTATTCAAGTCTTCAATCTTCCTGTTTAAATACTATTGTAAAAAATCAAGAATTATATATTCCAAACGATTTACCCCCATTTATTACTTTATTTATCGATTATTTTGAAAAATTACAAAGATCATATCTTAGACAAATAAATAGCTACTTTCGTTAAATATGGAAATTCTGTCAATTTATAATGCTGAATTATATTTACCATTTATTCATCGTTTATTAAATTAATTTTTTTTTTACAATATTGCAAAAGATTGGGCCATTCAAGGTAGACTCCCCCTTCATTATTAGATAATCCCCAAATTGCCTACCATAGATTCAAGTGCGCGTATAAACGCGAAGGACTTGCACGAGCACAAATTAAATGTAATAGCTCGCTGACATTGTGATACATGTATAAATTATACAAGAAATTTAATGTGGTATGACTCACTACCTCCGTTCATTGAGGAAAATTATGTCCCTTGTTTCGTCATGAAAGGGAAAATCGTTATATATATATATATAAATTTAATTGTACTATATATGTTTAAATTTCATTGTGTATTTTATTGTATCATATATGAAAAAAAATATAGAAACAAGACAAAAAAATATTGTTTTACTATTGTTGGTTATTTCTTGGTGTTAGTAAATTTAGATTGGTGGAACAATCTCCTTTTCAAAGGGAGAGCGATTATTGTAATAGAAAAATGCAGTTTATTTTATTTCATATAGTTTACTAATTAAGACATGTAAAATCTTCTGTGAAAAATATTTTATAGGCAATTATTGTTTAACTGCTTTATACTTTAAAAGCCAAACTTTCATGTTCAATTTGTGAACGTGGGAAACAGCAAATAAATGTTTGGTTCAAGTAAATGTCACGTTATTCAAAGTGACTTTATGTTAGTACAAATATTACTTAATTTTTGTTTAATAAAAGTTGACAAATCATGTCATAAACTATGGACAATGGTCAAAAAGGTCAACTATATTTAGGCTTTCTTATTTAATTGGGTTAGAAATTACAGATTAAGAATAATAGATAAGGCTCACTATGACACGCAGAAATAAGTATATAAAGCAATCAAGCCGCTATAACATAGCGAGTTTCTTGATATTTTAGTTTAGTTTTCTTTTCCGTTGTTGTTCCGGCCTCCTACCATGAGCCTCCCCCTAGATTGTGCCAAAAGGGCATTACAATTGTCGGGTTTTACATACCATAATATCAACACAAAATACAACACAGTATATCTATTTTAATATGTTAACTCTTCCATCCACAATCGATCATGCAAATCATCAGACATCTTCATTTACAACGATGGCACAATGAGCTTTGGGTTTGTAAACATAGAAATATTAAAGTTAACATTATAGACTGTTTGCAAAAAATGGATCTACAAAATAAATACTTGATATGCATTTCTTTTTATTGTCATTGTTGTGACTTTATAGTTAAATGTATTTGAAATTTTGAAAAAATCTAAACAATTATTATGTAATAAATACGCAGGCATTTTAAATTTTGTGAGCAACTAGTGGTACATATACATTGGATATACATCATCAAATGCAGCAAAAACGTGTTTGATTACAACTATTCCTTATTAAATGTACTTGAAATAAAAAACAAAGTTCTAAACAATAAATACGCAGGCATTTTAAATTTTGTGAGCGATTAGTGGTACATGTACATTGGATATACATGCAACAAGTATGTGTTTGATTACAACTATATCTTATTAAATGTATTGACATTAAGATGCAAGTCGACGAATATTCATTTAAAAATGTGGATCTAAATGTAGAGTGGTAAAATGTGTAGGTTGTGGTATTTCGTTTTCCTAATATTGTTTGTAAATATCGAAGGACAGAGTGGGGAGGATGTTAAAAATCTAATCAAACAATTATTTACAACAAATGATTATAAAAAGCAAGTCCGACCAAATCGGGATCAGCATCACCCTATGAATTTAGATTTAGATTTTTACCTTGTTGGAATAAATGAATTGGACGAACTAAAACAGAGATTGATAACAACCGGGTATTTAAATATTGGATGGATAGATGAGTATTTGAATTGGACATCTGCAGACTTTGGTGGATTATATTATTTTTACGTTCCACAAGCAGATATTTGGATACCTGATATAACATTACAAAATGGATTTACAAAATTGCAGGAACTTGGAAGCAGTTTTATCAAAGCTCAGGTTGAAAGTAACGGACAAGTAGCGTGGATGCCGTTTGAAGTTTTTGAATCAAAATGTAAAATAGATATTACATATTTTCCCTATGACCAACAATCATGCGACATAATTTTTGTTGTGTGGTCAAGTAGCGTTACAGATGTGAGTGTTACTCTGTGGAATAATGGAATCGTTCTGGATAGCTTGGAGAATAATGCAGAATGGTCAGTAGTATCAACAGCCGCACGAGAGGACGTTTTGTCGTTCGAATCTAGGGTTATATTTACACTAAACTTGAAAAGAAATCCGACTTATTATTTAATGAATATCATCATTCCAATCATTTTACTGAGTGTATTGAATGTGTTTACTTTTGCAATTCCGGCTGACAGTACTGCGAGAATGGGGTATTGCATAACGGTGTTTCTTTCGATGGCCGTTTTCCTTACAATTGTCAATTCCCAGCTTCCCAAAACATCTGGATCAATATTGGGATATTATTTATTGTTCCAGCTAGGTATGGGAACTTTTGTTGTGTGCTGTTCGATTATAGAACTTCGATTGCATCATCGTAAAGACGATGTTCCAAAGAACATAATCAAGCTAATGAGATTCCGGCATGTAAAGAAAATTACATCAATGTATCAAAATGAAACAGACAATGAACAAGAGATGACGTGGGGTGATGTTATTTCTTCATTTGATTTTGTATTGTTTTGGATAACGTCTGTATTAGTTGTAATTGCTGCAATTACAGTTTTAGGATTGCTTTGTACAAATTAGATAAAACGCGTTCTCTTGCGTTAGATTGTGGCTCTTTGTAAAAAAATGATTAAAAGGATCAATATAATGCCCAGAGGCGAATCCAGGGGGTGGTCATCCGGTGCACGTAACCTTACCCCCCCCCCCCCCCCCCCCCCCCCTCTGTGGTTGGCAAAAATGGTGCACCATGTACAAAATTTTGATTGAATTATCAATCGGTCTATCACTGGTAATCAAGGTTCATTACTTACCGTTAAGCGATTTACATGTACCTTGACATGTATGTTTTTACGAAGAACATGTAATAAGCGATCCTTAATTACTTCTTCGATTCCTTTGATGTGTTGGTGTGAAAATGAAGGGACATTCCTCAATTTTAGATGGGTTTTTTTTTTAATGGGACTGGTAATTGATATTTTTTTTTATATTTCGATTTTCTAAATTTTAAAAGTTTTTTGTATGACAACTTTCCTCGACTTTTAATGATAAATGAAATCTACAGTGATGCCAAAATTCAAATATTTTTTATTCGTTTTGAGTCTTATTAACAAACTCTTGATTTTACTGAAAAATTGACTGATTCGATATGACGGGTTTGTGTACTCTCCTTCAAAAGAAGGAGCTTATTTGTAAATACTGTGCTCTGTTTGGGTTGACAATTTGGGATCCTTAGCACACAAACCATTTACTAATTGTGCACATGCTTGAACTAGACTAAACAAACATTTCGGCCGGGATAACAAACCTTGTAAATAGAGCAACGCTGAGGCTAGAGCCAATGCACTACTTTTCCTTGACAATGTTGAGAAAAAGACAGTAAATATACAAACTTTTATTGATGCACTGATGCACGTGCATTATTATTTGCTTTTAGAACTTGATGTGATAATTGACACGTTTGCACGCAGGATCCACTAAAAATGAAATTGGAATCAATTTTATAAGTCCTGTCTAACCATGTGCTTTATAGTTGTTACTATTTTCATGACATTAATATCAATAAAACAAAAGTGATTTTTTATAAGATTTCGAAAGGTGACCTCCACCAGACATATTTCTTGATCCGCCCCTGATGCCGGCTGCTGGGTGGTTCAGGAATAGAATACAAAATGACTTCAAGTCTGCATTTACAACTTATAAATGAATATTGCTTATCAATTAATAGTATCATATATTCTAGACACATCAATGCAAGAATATCAGTTGTGTTGTCACTATGTCGTCATAGATATGTCGACATTGATATTTTACATATCAGTTCATGGAAAATTTACCTAAAATCACATTTACATTGATTATAATTGCAGGCTACAATTACAATTTAAGGATTGCTTTGTACAAGATAGATAAAATATATAGAATTACTCAAAACATGCTGGATAATAACCCGCTGTAATAACGGACAATAAGTAGATTACCTTAACTGTATTTGGCAAACCTTTTGAAATTTTGGGTCCTCAATGCTGTTCAACTTCGTACTTTATTTGGCCTTTTTAAACTGTTCTGTTTCGAGCGTCACTGGTGAGCCCTTCTGTAGACGAAACGCGCGTGTGACGTACAAACTGTTATGCCATAACAAAAAAACTTTGTCCATTTGTTGACACCTTTTCCAGTTGATCATAAAACAAGTTGAAACTCAATAGAGTCTAAGACAATACAATCAAACAATTTCAATAATATAAATGCTGATATCTGACAACCTATATAAGCATTTAAGGGGTGTTATTATATATAGCCTAAGGATGTTCGCTACTCTGTTTCAAAATAACAAGCTTTTTAAAAAAACTGTTATAAATTGAAAGTATATGAATAAAGGAATTAACAAAGCAGAAAAAATGAAGGGTCCGTGTGCTTGTTTTCAAGATATAAGCCATTGAAAATTTGGCGGGAAGTGATTCTCTCTAGATTTTTCATACATTTAACATTTGCACCTTTTCTCTTTCAAAAACTAAAAAAAAAAAACAAGGATTTTTAAAGATTTTCAAAAATTACTTTTAAAACTATACATAATTAAAATATTAAAAGAAAAGTAGGGCTATTTAAGCAAAATGTATTAATGGCACTACATGGATAAAACCAGAGGATTCCGAATATCTGCAAAAAATCAAAAACAAGAGGAGCGAACATCCTTAATAACATGTTCTGTTTTCGAATTCAACAGTTATCTGATCAGGGTGTTTTCCTTTATTATCATGAATAAATTTGCATAGCGCATGCTCAAATGTAAGGTGCAAGCTATACAAAAACAGGAAGATGTGGTATGATTGCCAATGAGACAACTTTCCACAAGAGACCAAATGACATAGAAATTAAAAACTAAAGTTCACCGTACGGCCTTGAACAATCAGCAAAACCCATACTGCATAGTCAGCTATTAAAGGCCCCGAAATGACAAATGTAAAACAATTCAAACGAGAAAACTAATAGCCTGATTTACGTACAAAATAATGAACGAAAAACAAATATGATATATAGCAACAAACGACCATCACTGAATTACAGGCTCCTGGCTTTGGACAGGCACATACAGAATGTGGCGGGGTTAAAATAGTTTGAAGGCGCAAATCCTTCCCTAACCTTGGACAGTGGTGTAACAGTACAACATAAGAACAAACTATAAAAATCAGTTGAAAAGGGCTTAACTCATCATATCGATACAAAGCAGAAACGTGGCACGGTACTTATACACCCCTTCAATAAATGAGACACTAAGTACAGATCTGAGAGTACTCGCAGTTACTGACAGCTAGTTCAAAGCCAATAACAACTAATACAAAAATCATGCATCTAAGACTATCCTTTTTTTTAAATATGCATCAACCCTTTAATGAATTCTGCATATTTCAAAATCAAATACTCAAAAGTGTTCCACCGTCTGACAGTAATAAAATACGTGTATGCATTTTTCGTCCTCACCTCTAAGAAAAAACACTGAATTGAAGAAAGATAAAGATTAAATACAGTTGCAAAATCTTTAAATACCAAAGATATACATATACTGTGTAAAGTAAACATAAGTTCATAATCATCGTAACGAAAGTTGTGAACATTTATATTTTATTCCGAAAAAGTATAATGACGTCTACTATTGTGAATTTTTTTGTGTTTACTTATATTCATGATACATAACTTATTTTTATTCGATATTTACCCTAGATATCTAATAAGTAACTTAAAGGGATGGGATACATGAACAAAGCATAAAGCTGAAAGCTAAGCATATTGTTATTCAGCCGATTGTGCAGGTTTAATTCTGATGAAAAGGCGATAACGAAATCATTCTTTAGTAAAATCATCAACCATGAAGCGTTTAGTAATTACAAACTAATTTTTATGGAATATTTGTGTTTTTAGTGAACACGGATATGTTCCACTGGCCATAGCCACAGTCCAGCACATTTTGTCTCATTATGAAATTATTGAATGAGACTTATCACCAGATTTGTACTTGTCATGAGCAACAAGACGTGTGTCCCTGATGGAGCAGGAATTGATCACCAGATTGAGCAACAAGACGTGTGTCACTGATGGAGCAGGAGTTGATCACAAGATTGAGCAACAAGACGTGTGTCACTGATGGAGCAGGAATTGATCACCAGATTGAGCAACAAGACGTGTGTCAAAGATGGAGCAGGAATTGATCACCATATTGACCAACAAGACGTGTGTCAAAGATGGAGCAGGAATTGATTACCAGATTGAGCAACAAGACGTGTGTCGCTGATGGAGCAGGAATTGATCACCAGATTGACAAACAAGACGTGTGTCACTGATGGAGCAGGAATTGATCACCAGATTGACCAACAAGACGTGTGTCACTGATGGAGCAGGAATTGATCACCAGATTGACCAACAAGACGTGTGTCACTGATGGAGCAGGAATTGATCACCAGATTGAGCAACAAGACGTGTGTCACTGATGGAGCCGGAATTGATCACCAGATTGAGTAACAAGACGTGTGCCACTGATGGAATAGGAATTGATCACCAGATTTGTACTTGTTATGAGCAACAAGACGTGTGTCGCTGATGGAGCAGGAATTGATCACCAGATTGAGCAACAAGACGTGTGTCGCTGATGGAGCAGGAGTTGATCACCAGATTGAGCAACAAGACGTGTGTCACTGATGGAGCAGGAATTGATCACCAGATTGAGCAACAAGACGTGTGTCACTGATGGAGCAGGAATTGATCACCAGATTGAGCAACAAGAAGTGTGTCAAAGATGGAGCAGGAATTGATCACCAGATTGAGCAACAAGACGTGTGTCGCTGATGGAGCAGGAATTGATCACCATATTGAGCAACAAGACGTGTGTCACTGATGGAGCAGGAGTTGATCACCAGATTGAGCAACAAGACGTGTGTCACTGATGGAGCAGGAATTGATTACCAGATTGAGCAACAAGACGTGTGTCAAAGATGGAGCAGGAATTGATCACCAGATTGAGCAACAAGACGTGTGTTGCTGATGGAGCAGGAATTGATCACTAGATTGACCAACAAGACGTGTGTCACTGATGGAGCAGGAATTGATCACCAGATTGACCAACAAGACGTGTGTCACTGATGGAGCAGGAATTGATCACCAGATTGACCAACAAGACGTGTGTCACTGATGGAGCAGGAATTGATCACCAGATTGAGTAACAAGACGTGTGTCACTGATGGAACAGGAATTGATCACCAGATTTGTACTTGTTATGAGCAACAAGACGTGTGTCAATGATGGAGCAGGAATTGATCACCATATTGAGCAACTAGACGTGTGTCACTGATGGAGCAGGAATTGATCACCAGGTTGAGCAACAAGAAATTTGTCACTGATGGTGCAGGAATTGATCACCAGATTGAGCAACAAGACGTGTGTCACTGATGGAGCAGGAATTTATCACAAGATATGTGCTTTTCATAAGCAACAAGACATGTGTCAGTGATTGAGGAGGAATTGTTTGCACTTCCCAGGCTCCTGAGTTCACACTCCTAGTTTATTATACATGTAGATCACCGGGTTTGTTGTTACATGAGCAACACGATGGAAGCCACATGTGGAACAGAATTTGCTTACCCTTCTGAAGCATCTGAAATCATCTCCGTTTTTATGGTGTTCGTGTTGCTCAGTTTTAGATCCAATGTTGTGTTTTGTGCACTGGTGTTTGTCTTGTCTTCGTTTTTAGCATTTTATCATGGAATTGTCAATTTGTTTTCGACTTATGCGTTTGAATTTCCCTGTGGTATCTTTTGCCTCTCTTTTATCATATGGTTCGTGAATCCTGAATGTAATGATCGAGATTTTGTTGTTATTTTCTTTCTGTATTTTTTACTTTCACAACAGTGGTGTCTGGCTTATTTCGCGTATGGTATTTGATTTTCAAATGTATAATCAAAAATGTCAATAATGAAACAATCTGATTAAAATCAGATTCGTCATTTTGCCCCGTTAGATTTGTTTGTCTCGGATTTTATCCAATCAAATCTTAGCATTTAAAATTTCGATATTTTTACTATTGGCGATAAAAAATATTGTCTGAAAAGCTGCGAAATATTTCCGATTATAGTCCTGAAATAATATGTTCTAAATATCTTCTTTCCTGACATCTTTTCAGTTGTTTATGCTATGCACAAACATGATTGTAAACAGAAAAGTTTCATTGTTTTTTTGTTTTTTTTTTTTATACTATGAATCGAGGGTTAAAATGACATTTAACCAACAGAACGTTGAAATTTAAATTCAGTTATGTCAATCTATGTTTGCGGGGAACCATTTAAAATCAAAGCGTCAGCGTATCACTTGAAATAATAGTTGATTATGGAATGCTTAAAAGGTCATCTACATATGACTACTTATGCGATATCTTCGTATCTTACATGCCGCTAAAAAACAAATACAACCTATCGAAGTGAAAAATCTTATTCAAATCAGATTGTTATGAAATCAACATAATTCGGAAAGACCTGTATTTAATTTCACGTATTTAATTTTCCATGCTATCTGTACATGTGTTGTCGGGTCACCAAGGGCATATAGTAGGTGTTCTATATGTAGGTGTCAATTTGTCACATATGCATGTAGCAAGGTAATATGGATAAAATACTTACGATCCTTCATATTCCATAATCAACGTTAATTATAAATCCCTTTTAGTAGTTTATAAAACA